TCGCGTTACGACAATATTAGCCATAGTTTTTAAAACGTCAATATAAATATATATATTAATCTTTTTTTTTGATAATAATAATAGTTTGTTAAATACGTCCGTACAAGGTTATCATTGAACGCCCAATGGGAAACGATTCCGCACAAAATGACGGGCAATTATAATAATGTAGGTAAACTTTGCTCAATAACGATGAAAACTGAAAGTGTTACAGTTGATGCAATACAAAGAAACAAACATAGTTGAGTTTTATTTAATACCTCTATCGATCCAAATTTACACATCGGTACCTGTAAAGAAAAATATTTTAACGTAATAAAGTAGACATTTTCTATTAGGGGGCTGTTATTTTAAATAAAATTATTTTAAACTAGCGACTCACCCTCGCTCCACTCGGGTTCATCGTACGTTTTGATGTTTAGTACAGATTTCTCAGATATATTTTCCCGCAGTAAAAAGAATCCTACATGTTGACCCGGATAAACAGCTATCACCATACCAAATTTCATCAAAATCCCTCCCGTGGATTTTATATGATGCGGTAACAGACAGACAGGCAACCAAAGCAGTCTGGAGCGCTCTTTGTTGGTGACACACGATCAAGGTGATGATGATGATGATGATGTTCTCCTGACCGATTCCGGCCACGGCGAGGTACCAGGTCAGTATCAGCGGGTAAATATATTGATCCAAGGGTACATAATTATTATAGCGATCGAACACTGGATAAACGTCTACCGTACCTTATTATTTATATATATATAAAACATTATATGGACAGCTTAACATAATTAAACATACTTTAGTTAGAAGCCTTAAATATCATAATGGAAGATTACCGTGAAACTCTGATCCCACAGACAAACTGTGCAAACAGTTTTGTGGGTCCATTGTAAAATTATAAGTATCTTTATATTCCATTATTATAGGTCCACTGTAAATTAATCATATCTGTTTTGTATATTTTTGCTAAAAAAAGACAGACAAAAATTCTAAAAACTATAGTTACGGCCTCTGTAATAATGTTTATGTCAATAAGATTTTCCAAAAAATATTTAATGTACAGATTCGGCTTAGTTACAATTTTATTATATAGATTATGTATAGATTTGATACCTTGGGTATTGTAATTATACAATAATTACCAAGGGATGTATACAAAAATTGTAGAAATATATTTTAGAACACATAATAACTTTAATATTTGACCACTACAGTGTTCTTTTAAAAGACCTAGCATTGGAGGATACCCCTTTGATAACTTAGGGGACGCAACCCCTCAAATAGGCACCCTATTAGATCCTGATTTACTGTCCATAGAGCGCGTTCCAAAAAACTTTTAATAATAAAGTCTCATTATTCATTTGTATCATTAATTGAAGACATTTTTGCCAACTTCAGAAAAGAAGTTCGGTTATTTCTATATTTTTAAAGCATTATCATTAAATTTTTTTTATTAACATTAATTTTTAGTTATAGTTAAGGGATCTTTCTAGTTAGAACGTTTTTTTAACTTGTTTTATTTATGCTCTTTTTCCGGTTCTAAATACGTAATAGCTGACAATATTATTCAGAATTTGACATACTAACCTATATATTTGTCCTGATAATGCAATAATTGGGAACTTTCATCTATTATTATAAATACAAAAGTTTGTTTGTATGTATATATGTATGTTTGTAGGTCAGTTACTCCTTCACGCTAAAACGGCTGGAAGATTTGTATGAAAGCTAGTACACGATAGGTACATTGCTGAGATATCTATACACACTCGAGAGAAGCGAGGGTAAATTGCTAGTAGCAGATAAAAGGACTTCTGTTAAAAAGTAGCCATGTGATTTTTATTTAATTATTTTTTTTGTGTAACAAACCTCACGTCACGTCACAAGTCACGGGTTCGATTTGCACGTGGCTGGGTTATATTTGTTATGTGAGTCTCCAAGTGGATCAGATAATATTTAGTACTAGCAGAAACCGCGGCTTCGCTCGCGCTAAAACTACAAAAAATCTCTAAATGTAGGTACCTAGGTTTCATACAAACTTTCATCCCCTATTTCACCCCCTTTTACGATGAATTTCAAAAAACGTTAAAACACGTATTTATTTATTTGTGCTTAAGAATATTAATACCAAGTTTATTTCTTCAAGCTTCTGATCAGTAATAAATTTTTGGTTTGTATTATAACGTGTTTTCCCGTGGGAATGAGATGATCTCTCGCGATATTAAGAGAAACTCTAAATGGGTTTTTACATTTTTTTATAAAATTAAATATACCTAGATAAATACTATATAATATGACACAATAGGTTGTTATTCCTTTATAACTTAAAATTATAAATGAAAATTTCAAATGAAATGATGAAATAAAAATATCGAACGTAATGAAACGCTCTAACGTCCAATAAATCGAAGTTACATTTGGTAGCGATCGCGAAAATCAATAGTCGATGTCGTGACATGCGGTGGGCCTACAAAGCGTACACCACAACATGAATGCCTGAAAAGCAATACATTTCACAGAAAAACCACCCTTACCGAGTTAATATAAAGCTTATTTTCCTATACATTGTTACAGAACTTACGGTGTTATGGATTCGATTTTGAATAGACCGGATAATCGACGCCTAGCCTTGTGCGATATCGATTTTACTAAGGGCTACTCGTTTTGAGCCGAACGAACTTTTATATACCTGTCTCTTTCGTTCACAGAGTTCGCATATGAGATAGAGGGAGACGGCTATATGTTTGCAGTGTAGATTGAAAGGGGTTGTCATAGCAACGGTTACACAGGGTAAAACCGATATGATCGTAGTTATCAATTTTCGATATTTGTAGGTCATGATGAATATTACATTAAATTTAATTGTAAAAAGAGAAAATATTAATATTGTAATACGAAATGAAGATAATTTATTAGAAAATGATTTTATTGATTTGGTAAGATATTCTTTTTGACGTAGTAATGACATTTATTATGTAATCAATAATGTCTGTTGCAAAGATAAAATTTTCAATTTGAAGTTTTAAATTAAATTAATTATTTAGGTATTATGTATCTAGTTTAGCTTATTTTATTTGTATCAATATTAAAATTATTCATTCTACTAATTTACGTGAAATTACATTTTTTTTAGTAACATAGGTATTTATAATACTTAGTTAAAAATACATATTTAAATATTTGGAGCCATGTTTTATTTGTATTTACATGTGAAACATGTTATAAAAGTACAACGGGGTTAAAGGGAAATTGTAAATAAATGTTTAATTTATTTATTTTACTTATTTAATGTTTGGGATGTAAAAAAATTAGATTGTTTTTGTTCTTTTATTCGAGAACGTTTGAATTTTAAGGTTTATATATATATTTTTTTCGTATATGCAATGGTTCAATAAAACATACTCATTCGTAGCTAAGACTTACTTTAATGTACGTGAAATTCCATACAAAACAAAAAACTTACGCAGGGAGAGCTGTAGGCTAAAGCTAGTCCATTAAAATATTTACTGGATACTATATTTTAAAATACTAAACTTCGCCTTGCTTTGCTTAGTATTATTTAATTAGTTTATTTATTACTAGTGGTTCACCGTCTCTTCGCTCGGTTTCGCTTATAGGATAACAAATTGTTTTTGTTCCTATCCTACGGGAACCATACATTTTTCCGGGATAGTGCCTATGTTTTATTCCAGACTATAATCTATCTCTGTGCCAAATTTCATCCAGATCTATTTAGTCGTTCTGGTGTGAAAGAGTAACAAATATCCATACTCACAAACTTTTACATTTATAATATTAATACGGATTAAAAAGAACGTAGGTAATGTATGTTACTTTTGCCATAGAGATAATCGCGTTAGATTAGGATCAACGGGATTTGTAATTTTGCGCTGAGTGAAAAAATTATATAAAAAACTGCTAAGCTAAAGTAGCAAGTTCTATTTTCAGTTGTGACAAAATTAGAATTAGTTTAATTAACCATAGATTAAATGTAAAGTTGTAAGTAAAAGCTTCAGGATAAACAATTTCTCACTATAAATCGACTTATTCTTTTGCGTCAAATCTTCTCCATTAATTTATTAGAATATAATATGTATGTAAGGTTTTTATTAGAATATAATATGTATGTAAGGTTTTTAAGTATTTTCTCTTTTAGCTGGTAGTTGAGTACTATTTAGGGCCAGTGAATTTTTAAAATTTTTGTTTTATTTAAAGAACCTATTTGAAATTTTAAATAGTTTGTTTTACACTTTTTACGTTTGTTTAAGTTATGGTCATGCTCATTACTGTTTTCACTTTAATGCGTCGTACAATATTCATTAGATATGTAGATCTATTTTTTTCAGCCTTATTTGAGTTAGCTTACTACAATATTTTTATATAAAAAAATAAAAAATAAAAAATAAAAAAAATGAAAAATTAAAAATAAATAAAAATAAAAATGTTTTAAAGTTTAAAAATATTGTAATGTAATTGGTGCAATTTTCATTTTGTTAATTGTGGTTAGGCTGTCTGTAACAACTATACCTTCAAGACATGTAACACCTCAGTCTCTCCCGTGACCATGGGTGCTGTAAAGCATTCGAAACGTCGGGAACCAATAATCAAAATAAATCCGCGAAAAAATCCGAAAAGATAGTTTTATTTAAATTGTAAGCTTGCTATTTAGATTACATATAATATTAAAATTAAACTTATGTACATAAGTATGGGTTTATATTACTAGCCTATATTAAGTTAATGCATAATGCGTTGTATAAGCTACAATGAAATAAAGGTTCAATAACGCGAGCGAAGTCGAGTAGATCATTTAGTATTCTTAATTTAGGGCTTCATAGTATTTACTCATAACAGACTATAGGCAAAGTTAGGGGTAAGATCGTGTTGCAAAAGAAATCTGAACTTTTCATGAAGAGGTTCCCTTAAAAATATTGATATATTGAATTTCTTCCTTACCTCGAAACCCTTTAAGTTGGCAAAACCATATGGTGAGGTCAATGCACACGGAAGATAGTGTGGGACAGGTGTGCGATCGATATCGTTGGAAAAAATCGATGTGACGTCACATAGCGGGTGCATGCGCAGCTGTTACATAGTAAAAGGGGGTCCGAGAGTTAGGGTAAATATGCATATTAAGTTTTTTTTATAAAATGATCGTTATCATTGTCACTTTTTGTGTTTTAGCAAATGTATTTCTGTTTTTTTTTTTACCTTAGGTCGTTATACTTTTGTATAGGCGTGGGCTTTATTATTTTATTATAGTTATTTTGGTAATAATACCGACCTATCTCCTTTTTGTTTTGATGATGACACGCTCAGAAATCATTAACAAGGAATTTAGCTACGGAACCCTAAAACATTAAAATAACTATTAGTGTCTTGCAATTTTTGCTATATTATGCCATTTGTAAAGCCAGTTTTTAATTTGATTCTTTACATTTATATTGGTTTTCTAATTGACATATAAAATAGCCTTAGTTAAAGATAAAAGCTTTGATATAAACAATTTCTAATATTTCAGGAGAAAGTCAGATGTCAGCTCTTTAGGTTCATAGGTTTGATCTAGATGATAAACTAGCACAATGCTTTTAATATATCACGTACTTGCGACTCACCCTCGCTTTGCTTCGGGTTTGTCCCTAGGAAAAAACAAATCTATTCCACGGAACTCGTACATTTTTCCGGGATCATATATAGCCTTGCTCAATAAACGGGCTATCTAATGCAAAAATAATTTTTCAAATCGGATTAGTATTTCCTGAGATTAGCGCGTTCAAATAAATAAACAAACAAACTCTGCCTCCTTATAGCGTTAATATAGATATATGTATATTAAAAAAAATATTTTACAAATAACATTTTATTAAGTAGGTATGTGACATTTTATTTAAATAATGAACTGAGTGAATGTGTATCGTGACGTAACTCTGAGCTCAGCCGCTACTGCGGGCAGGACGTGGTAAAGTAGGGGCGGCGCGTGCTATGTCCTTAGAGGGAAATGTGTCTATCGATATTTTTAATAGAAGCTTTCTAAATGTATCGATATTTTCGTATATATTTTTTGGCAGTTTTATTACTTAGAATGAGTTTTATTGGTTTACAGTAGGTAGGTGTAAGTGATTTTATATATTTTTTGGAAAATTCGATAAAGAGAAGCTCTCTGTAATGCACGAGTACCGACTATGATTTTTTACAAAGTTATGCATATGGAGAAGACACACTGAAAACAAGGAACTGCAAACAGTGTAGTCTATAGGTATATAACTGGTTCTAAAAGTTTTTTATAGTAACATACATATCTAATGGTTGCTTGTTTTACTGCGCATATTCTCTGGAACTATGAGTCCAGTTTAAACAAATCTTCATAATCTATTTATCGAGGAAAGTTACAGGCTTATGTAGTTTTGACAAAAGAACCTCAATAAAATCGAATTTAAAAAATTATGATCGATTTTCGACTACGGATCGATCACTAGAAATATTTGACATTGATAAACTACTAAATGTATACATCACTATCCCCCTTTGTCGCGCGCCAGGTGTCGAGCGGGGTCAGGCGCGTGGCCGTCTGTGCATTACAGCTTACTTGTAGCGTTACTGTTTAATGTTTTACATTAGAATAATGTATGAAGTATTAATTTATGCACATACAATAGGCTTTTGTGTAGAGCTGGCTAGTTTTTTTTAATTTCAAGATGCTCTTTTATAATATTTGTATATTTTTTGCATGTTTAATGTGATAAGATAAATATTTTAGCTTATACTAAACTAGCGACTCACAGTTAATGTGGAACATATAGACTATATATACGTTAGTATAAATATGATGAGTTTTATATCCCTTACTTGAGAAATGATTGATTCTCTGTACAAACTTCCATCCCCTCTTTCACCCCCTTGAAGGATCATTTCCGGGATGAAAATTATCACAGAATTCCAAACTATTTACCAATTTTCATTAAAATCGGTTCAGCCGTTTAGTCGTGAAAAGGTAACAAGCAAACAAACAATTAAACAAACAAACAAATACCCACAAACAAAGAGAGTTATTTTCGCATTTATAATATTAAGTATGGAAGTATGGATGATTTATTTAAGGTATAAGAGGAGGATTAAATTTGGAAGAGACTCTTAACTTCATGCTTCGGCTCTCCTTTTATGTTAACGAAGATAAATAGGTACCTAGCTAAAGATTTTTTTAAGGTTTTATGTTCAACAAGTTTGAGTTATGGATTGAAGTATCAAATAGTCTGATAGTAAATTTTCTACTAAATAATTTAAGTTTTGATAAGCAAAATTAGTTTACTATTTTTTATATATTTTTTCAGGGCAAATTTCAGTATAAGCTAATATAAAGTGTTTGCCTTTTTAACTATTTCTAACAAAAAATATCTAAATTACACAGGAGTTATGTAAAAGTTTTAAGCGAGTTCTTATTTAAAACTATCTTTGTACCCTCGATTCGTTCGGGTGCATCTCTAGAGATGAATGGCCTAGTTACGTGTAAAGGCAAACATACAAAAAAAATATGCAAAGAAAAATTTTTTTTTTTTTATAACAGGAACCTTCGCGGGCGTACGCAAAACAACTCACTAAAGTTTTATCATAATCGAATGAGTGATTGAGATTGAGAGTATAAACATACAAAAACATTTGTTTTATTTATACAGAGTAGCGGCTCACTCTCCCTCCGCTCGGGTTCGTCCCTACTTACGTTTTAACGTTTAGTATAGATTTCTCAGAGATGAGATATCTTACCGCAGAAAAAAATATCCTATGTGTTGACCCGGATAACCAGCTATCATCATACTAAATCTTATCAAAATCCAGTGGTTTTCTCGTGATGCATTCCAAGACGGACAGACAAAAATTCTAAATAAAAACTATGGGTTCGGCCTCTGTATCGATAATAATAACTATTTCTATAAGATTTCCATAAAATATTTAAAGTGCAGATTTGACACAGAATTTTTTTATATGTATAGATGAGATATTATTTAAAATGTATAGATGAGATTAAGAAAAAATAAATCATCTCTTTTTTTTATTATCTACTACATAAAGCCTATTTTTAAGTTTTCATTACGTATGTATTGAGATATTACGATTGGGAAAATAACTCAGACCGTGAGTGAGTGAGAGAATGAGTCTACGTTTTTGTTACGCATTACGGGTATGACGGAAACTCGGTATTATGATAGCTTATATCCTACATAAACGTTGGCATAACGTAGTATAGAGACATAAGGAGCGTATTTAATTTTTTTTTTAATTCTAAATTTTCTTTTTTTTAAATGAAAAATATTTTTCATATAAAATATTTTATCTATAAATTGCAAGATAGTATTTCACTTTGACTTATTTAAGGTAGTTTTATTTTATTACGTATACTAGCGGACCCGACAGACGTTGTCCTGTCTACACGTCTTTAATTTGAAAATTTCAAACTTTTTTTTTATTTTTTTTGATGAAAATTATTATTCAAATTGTGAATCTAAACCATTCCCAGATCCCCTTGAACGCACACAAAAAATTTCATCAAAATCGGTCCAGTCGTTTGAGAGAAGTTCAGTGACATACACACTCACAGAAGAATTATAAATATAAAGATAATAATATTAGCAACCTACCTACCTAGAACTTGCGGCTTCGCTCGCGCTAAAACTACAAAAAAATCTCCAAAAAGATAGGTTTCATACAAAGTTTCATCCCATTTTACCCCCATATAAGATAAATTGTGAAAAATGCTAAAACACGTATTTAGTTAATTTTATTAAAGAGCATTAGTATCAAGTTTCAAGTAATTCTGAACATAAACATTTTTTTGGATTGTATTGTAACGTGTTTTCCCATGGGAATTAGATAATCTTCCGCGGTAAAAAGTAGCCTATTTAGCCCTAACTCTTTAGCCCTCCAACTATCTCCATACAAAAAATCATGCTAATCCGTCATTCTGTTTCTAAGTGAAAGAAGGACAAACAAACAAACACACTTTCACATTTATAATATTAGTATGGATATACATTTAATTTATTATTGTAATATACAAAAAAACATTAGATGTCTTTTGTTTGGGAAAAATATGCCTGGCTTTTCTATTCATTACACAAAGTAGAAAACTATGTATTAATAACATGTATGTATGTGCGTGCGTGCGTATTGCGTAAAAAATCTTTTTTTTCTATTTTCAACCGACTTCAAAGAAAGGAGATTTTACTATTTTTTAGATTTTTATGTGAAAAGAATTAAGTACATAACTAAGTATATTTAAGCAAACTCTTATAAAACTGTAAGTGTTATTGCTAGAGCAGCTGTAATTATACTTCTTTATAGCATTCGTGTAAATCATCATTAAAAATGAATCGGACCTAAATAAGATGGTTTTCCTTTGGAACTTCCACCACGAGGTAGCGCGTAGCCGAGTGACAGTACCTCGAACGAGGGCATACATTACTGCCATATAACACGTACATTTTACTCTCACGCACAATGTCCCTACTTGCTATACATTGCTGTTTGAAAAACGCGTGAAGTTCCTTTAACAGGCAAAAAACTGTAATGGACAGTAAACTATAAGAAAAGCTAGTTATATGGATATTTCAGCGCCTCGGGGTAAGCTGAGGGTGCATTGTAGTGTTCACGTCATAAAACAGGACTGGATGTGATTGCTTACAGCAATACAAACTTTATTCAGATAGATTAAAGTCGAAATTGGAGCGATTTTAGTGGATATAGGACCTTTGGTAGTATTAGTAACAGAGTAGGGGTGTTTGCAGGCGGACCGAGGGGACGGAAGGGTGCGACGCGCAGGCGTGTTCCAGTCGCCCGCGCGACCCCGCCGCCGCCGGCCGCGCGCCATGGACGAGACTAGAGTTCGTGACCGAGCGCCACTCACCGTCATAGTCGCCCCCAGCAACGCTTCACCCCCCAGACTATCTCCTGCAGACTTGCTACCCGATGGAGATGCAGCTTTTCATCCCCTATCTGCTGTCAACGGACGTCTAACACCTCCAGGACTAGAGCCAGCGTCGTACGCAACGCTCACACCTCTTCTACCCTTACCCCCAATCAGCACAGTTTCGGACAAATTCGCGTACCATGCTGGAGGTACTTTTACTGTTATTCAACAGCAACAGTCTTACGCTTCGTTATCCCCCGCACCATATAATGAACCTTTGTCGCCACAATCAGCGTATAGCAGACGTAGTGCGTCTCCGAATTCGTTTGAAAGGCGCTCCCCCACCCCTCCGTTGCCCAGCCCGGGCTTGGACCTCAATGCGGCGCTTTTAGCGAGGGAGGCGAGGGAGGAACAACAGCAGGCTCAAGCGCAGAATGATACTGAAGAGATTAATACAAAGGAGCTAGCTCAAAGGATAAGTGGCGAGTTGAAGAGGTACTCGATCCCTCAGGCGATATTCGCGCAGAGGGTACTCTGTCGGTCGCAAGGGACGTTAAGTGACCTGCTACGGAATCCAAAGCCATGGTCCAAGCTCAAGTCAGGCCGGGAGACCTTTAGGCGGATGTGGAAATGGCTCCAAGAGCCAGAATTTCAAAGGATGTCAGCGTTGAGGCTAGCAGGTACGTTGTGCATGATTGTTAATATGTTCAAGATTTGAATTAGTATTTAAAAATACGAATAATTTAAAGCTTTGATAGACTACATAAATTTTATTTGAAGAAGTAATGAAAGAATATATTGTTTTTCTTTTAATTACCCTTTTTATATTAAGGGATTTTATTTATTTTTACAAAACACATAAAAGGTATTTTAAATAATTACGAAGATGTATAAATTGTTACTCGTACTCGTAACCTGTAGAAACGGCCACATAAGAACTTTGGCGCTAAGTAAAATATACAGTGTTGCAAATTTTGAATGAATTCAATTCTAGATAATTAACTTCCGTCAGGCATTTTGCCTCTGAAACATCTCAGATAATTGCGAAATGGGGGCATTAGCATGAATTTAAATAAAATCGATATCTAAGTTTACAAACATCACAACTGTCAGCTGTCGCATCGATTTGTCGACAATCGATGGCGGCGCGGTCGATGCACGTCACTATGACGATGAAAACGAAGCTAGGGTTGTAAGCGGATTTGTTAGGGTTGTTTGGTACACATTTTGTGAACTCTATAGAGGTCAACTATAGCTAATCTATAGTACGTGTACAATGTTATTTTCCCTTTTTACTTTTATTTCTATGAATGTTTTGTCTGTTTATATTTGGAGTTTTTATTTTAAAATATAAATTTGATTTTTTAGATTATTTATAGTCAATATCATAAATTATAAAGCGATAAATTCAATTAATTTTAAATAGTGTTTATCGATAATTTTATTATTTTTATTTTCTAACAACAGTTATTCTAATACTTTGTTTCAAATGTCAGGTGCAGGGAATCATTAGGCTTAGAAATAATTGGTATACATATTGGGTATAATTATTTCAGATTAACATAAAATAAACATATAAAATAAACAGATAAAATTAACTGTTATTTAAATTTTATAGTTAATCAAACTCTACTGTGACTTGTTGTAAGACTGCAGTTTTGATCCAATCCATATTACCAATATGTATCGGTCGAGCCTACTTTGGAATGTAGCACTTACTCCATTAAGATGCGATAGTAAAAATCGATTTCAAAGCTTACAAACATCAGCTGTGGGTATCGATTCTTCATAATCGATAGCTGCGCGATCGATAAGAACGTCACTATGACGGCGGACCGACGCTAGGGCTTATAGTAATTCTGCTAGGGGTGCTAATGGTCCATTGAAATAAAAAGGGGTGCATAATATTCTTATTATTAATGCCATAGAAATTAATTGTCAAGTCGCTTTTGTAATTTGGGTGTACATTTTTCACGTTATAACTATATCAAGTTGATGTTTTAAATAAAGTACTTATCGAAATTAACAAAATAAGATACTGCTATTTTCAACTGTCTAATATTTATATTTAGTCATATTATGTTTATGTTAATTCCTACTACATATATTAATTTTTTTTTAGCCATGTGGGAGTTACCTATGAAAATCAAAAGGCTTGTGCTTATTTGAAACTAGCGACTCACTCTCGCTCGGGTTCGTCCTTACGTAGATTCCCCCTTACATTCTACTTTCATACCCACTTTCACTACCTTAAGGGATGATTTCCGGGATAAAAACTATCCTGCTATCCCTATATCTTCTTACCAAATTTCATCTAAATCGGTCCAGTAGTTTCGGAGCTTATTTAGTACAAACAAACAAAAACCTTTCCTCTTTATAATATTAAGTTTAGATATAGACTTAATATTTAAAATAAACTCCTCAAAACTAAATAACTCAATTGTCTTGATAAAAGGTAAGATTTTTTCATCATCGGGCGGGCGGTGCTTTATTTATAAACATAATAAGATTCATCAGACGTCAAAAGTTTTTCAATTATCTCTTTAATTAATATAACGTTATGACAAGTTACAGTAAGTAGCTTATTTTGGCTGCGACCTTTCAGTTTTAGACTATGCTGTCAGTTGATATCAAATATTAAACTCTTTTAATGGCTATTTTTATTCGAAACGATAAATGAAGGGGTTTAACGATTAAAAAAGTATATTTTTAGCAATCAGGAATTAAGATATTGTATTGATAAGCATAATATTAAAATGTTTTTTTTTTTAATTCATTTGAAAGTGAAGTAAAAAATTTTTTGGTAATCTATATATTAATAGGCAAAGACAACACAGTCCAGTACGTTTTTCTTGTGTTGTCAAGTTATTTTCTTCCAATCGTTACCAAAAAAATATTGGTAACAGTTTCTTCTTTTATATAGATAGGTAAATCCTATTCATATGTACGAGTACGTATATGTTTTAATCAAATTTTCAATAATGTTTATGGTCGAATTTTGGCAACTGGGTGGACAATAGTTGTCATAAACTAAAAAAAAAACAATTATTTTGCAGCTTAATTTACTTGCAATCATGGTTGGTTAGGTTAGGTTTATTTTTTATATATCCAAACCGGTTTAGGCTTTCTTATAATAATAATAATGTCCTGACGACTGATTCCGGCCACGGCGGCCAATATCATTGAGACTAGCCATCTGCGCTGGAGACATTATAGTGCTCAAATGTAGACACATGTATACTCTTTATTCCTGTCACTCTCATACTCCGGTGGGACGACTACTCGACACAACCGGTGAGAGTTAAGGCGCAGAACCGACGCTTTTACGTGCTTTTCGAGGCACGGGGGTGAAACATCGCCAACTTCCCAACTCCGGGCTGTTATTAAGGCTTACTAAACAGAAAGACTCTATAACTAAACTTGACCAGACAGGGATTTGAATCCAGGACCTCCAGATGTGCAGCCGTACATGCTAACCACTACGCCACCGAGGCTTTCATATAGATAGGACTTAAACATACATACATATGACATGATGATGATGATGTTCTCCTAGCCGATTCCGGCCACGGCGGCCAATCTCAATGAGATTAGCCAACTGCGCAGGAGATATTATAGTGCTCAAGTGTACGCGCAGACACAAGTGCACTCTCTATTCCTATCACTCTCATACTCCGGTGGGACGACCACTCGACACGACCGGTGAGAGTTAAGGCGCAGGACCGACAGCTTTACGTGCTCTCCGAGGCACGGGGGTGAAACACCGCCAACTTCCCAACTCCGGGCTGTTACTGAGACTTACTATACAGGAAGACTCAATAACTAAACTTGGCCCGACCCGGTACTCGAACCCACGACCTCCGGGTGTACAGCCGTACATGCTAGCCACTACACCACCGAGGCAGTTAAACATATGACATATTCACTTCTTAATAGTAGTTAAAGCATTGGTTTTTTATACAAACAAAATAGTATACAAAACTGTAAAAGTAAGTCGAAAAAATGTGAATATCTTCTAATATTCTAAATCCCCCATCTGTTTTATCTTCTTTTCATATGATAGCATCCGAGGGATGACCCTGGTACTGTAAACAATATAGGCTATAGTTATTGCCTAGGTACCAACTGGCAGAGCTTAAGTTTCTTTACCATATTGCTACATTCTATGAGTTCAAGTCTTCAGCACTATAGCATTTCATTGCTTCTGGTTCACATGAGTCACTGAAGTTGATACTCTCCACTACGCGACAATATTTATGGTATAAACCCCACTTTCTATAAATGAGTTTTGCGTTAACTAAGTATAAATTATTTTCACATCCTCTTACATATTGCACGCTACTATTTACAAGTATGTATCTAAAAAAAAAACTATGCAATGGTGAAGTTTGCTCCAGTTTTTAACAAATTTTTGGTACTAACTCGTTTTGTATGTGTGTGATATTACTCTGTTTTTGTAGTCTTCCTTGACAATTGCTTTAGTTGGGAAGCAAATTGATTTGGTATTTATATGTCAGCAGGCAGTTAGCAATGATATGAATTCTTTGTTGGCTATTGCGTTTCATTTCGAAGTTTTTTCGCGGACTGACCTTGATTATTGCAAAATGGAATTACAACTCCGTAAGATCTATTGGTCTCAGGCTTCAATTTTAAAGAGTTCCTATTGAAATTGAGACATTTTAAACTTAATTAATATCTTGTGATTAGTAACACAGCGTTGGATATTCAAAAACATTATTTAATTTTACCAAAATGTATAACTAGAAAACTTATCAAACTGTAAATTACCTCATAGCCTTAACCTAAAAAACAAGTTTACGATAGAGGTGTACGTTGTGTTTTATACGATATCTTAACTTTTGGAAATCGTTTTTTTTACTTATTTTTAATTTTTATTTTCTACTTTTACTAGTTCAGATGTACACACTATAATTATATAAATATCTCGCGAATCGCCCTCGCTTCGCTCGGGTTCGTTCCTACCTTTCTTCCCAATACAAACTTTCATCCCCATTTTCACCCTTTTTAGGGATGATTTCTGTGATAAAAATATCCTTTGTCTTTTCCAGGATCTCATCTCAAATTATCTTCTTACGAAATTTCATCTAAATCGGTTCCGTAGATCCATAGATTACCCCCTACTACCTCACAAACTAACAAAGTTTACCTCTTTATAATATTAGTCTATACTATTTAATCTATATTAAAAAATAATTATTATTTATTGTATTGTTTAAATATAGTAAGATTGATGTCAAGGGCAGTTTATTCATTTGGCCTTGGTTTGTATAGGCACGCAGGTCCAACATGTGGAGGAACTAAAAATACTCAAATTTAATAGATGTTAGCAGTAATCGGGATTGGCCTAAGATTGTGTTTACGGCATTTTAAACGTGCCACTGCTTAGCAAAGGCCTCTCTTCAATACGAGGGGGATCAGGCCATAACTTAACTAAATAGACATGATTAACCATAGCAAATTATTACTTAAGAATAGTCACCGGATAATACTAATGTCCCCCCCCAACGTGCGTTCACCTTGTCGTGGTGGGGGGGCTCAGTAGTAGTAGCGAAGCTAAGAAACGCACAGGGAGGTTGCCCACTTCGGTGGGCGGTGGGAGGTGGCCCTCTTCGGGGGGCGGTGTACCTTGCGGGTTGCTCCTGGTACTTCTCTGATAGCAGAGTGGACCTTGGAGCAACCCCATGGTTGTGGTGGTCTGCTTTGGCAGACCTGCCGTCGGGGCGTCGTAGTTGAATGCGTAAGCGATCCTGCGACGCCCCATTAAGACGGGGGAAGGTTTTGTTGGGTTTTAGTGGGTAGTACTGGTTGTATTACGCCGGTCAGTCCCACACGTCGTGCGTAAATGCATTTCCCAACGTTAAAAAAAAAAAAAAACTAATGTCAGAACTTTGAAATACATATATGGCAAACTAAAAATAGAACTGTGCAAAATCTAAAATATCGATGGGTCCACCGGACGTCTGCTTCCTTAAAATTCTAACATTGAAAGTTTGATTACATGCTTCATACTACATAGGCCTCACAAATTGATGTTATACTTTAGATGTAAAATGTGTATCTAAGGCACAGCTAGCATCTAAAGCATCTAAGGTCAGCTAAGATTGTCTAAAGGTATGTATTATCGCGAGAAAGGTCGTGTATTGCCCCCTTATCACGTAAATTAAGTTCTGCAACCATACTTACTTCTTACCCTCTATTCTGGACAACTAATAAAAGCCAGCCAGAAGCGTGAAATAGCTATTGGTTAGCCCTAGAAGCCTCAAATCCATGGTGTTTCATTCACTGAAAACACACCATAATCTATTATCCTAGCTCGATTATTAAGACTTGGTTCGATCAGTGGTCGGAAGTTGATCATAATCTTTTGATAACACTAAATCTCATCTAAAGATTCTCAATAACAAAAGAAAATCAGAGGAGTAAAAGGTACTAAATTGTTTTGTCTTTGCCTATTTAAACGTATATATCTATACGTAGTCATGAACGAATTAAACACAATTCGTTCATGGATGTAGTATTTTAAAACTTTTACCGATGACTCAGAAAATTAAATTATTAGTATTGTTATTTTATATTCACACTAAGTTTCTTTCGCCAGTTCTCATTAAGTATGAGGCTTCTTCTTTCCGAATTGGTAGTAGATGATGACTCATGACGTTCAGTTAAAAATTTCAATAATTTATTGCTATATAAAATATTTTGAATTTGAATTAAAATGTTAAAATTTTAATTAAATTTGAATATAATTAAACTTATGGGAATACAACATTTAATATCAATTAGCAATTGAGTTCATAATTTCTTATATTATTACATAATTTGTCTGTTATTTCTACAGTTTAAAAAATATCTGTTTGTCAAACGTTAAAAACTTAAATGTTAGATGAGAAAAAAAATAGAAAAACAAATAAGAGAATACAAGAATTTGCTGTAAATATAGGTATTGTAAATATTCATCATGAACGGAAATAAACTAGCTAGCTTCGATATTGTATGTAGTCATTCAAATTCCACTTTGCCACGATAGTCATTTAGTTTAAAACTTATAATTTAATATCACTTGTCCGCCCATTCGTTCGTTAGTGTCGACAGCTTTATTAATGTTTTTGTTACTTGCATACATTTTGTTCTTTAGAGTACTAAAATTATGGGAAACTGTTTATTTGTATAGCTGTTTGATAAAAAAGAACGTGTAATATTAGATACATATATCTACTGCATTGATACTATAATTTACATTACAAACATATCATTCCTTTTGGAATTAGCATAAAGATATTAATGGTGGATGGCTCATATATGTTAGGAAAGTAAAACCCGACCTACTATATTTTTGATCAATTTATTGCTATGTAAACATCAAAAGCCACAATGCTGCTATCAAATTGTTCACTATAAACATTTAATTCATCACACCTCTTGAGACCTATTCATTAAACAAAGAATCATGAAAATTACTTATTAATAATTGGCAAAGAAGTAATAAATATATGTCCGAATTTATTTCCTTACCCTGAAATCAGTGTAAAATAGAAAAATAATTAAATTTTGCTCAACACATCCAATTGTAACCAGGCTCATAATTATGGTACCTCAAAAAATTAAAATCGGGGAAAAAACACTTTGAATTGTTGAAAAATGCCGATTTGGCCCCATAATGTGTCATATTCGTTGTAAAAACCCAATCCACACCTTTCCTAAAACATACAAAGATTAAAACAGCATTATAACGTTAGAGAACGGGCACTGAGCACATGGTGTCCCCCTCGCTCCACCCCCTCCCTGTGACGTCACGCCCCGCCCGCTGTATCGATCGCGCGACCCCCTCGTAGACTATTCTAGTGTTATTTAGGTATCTCGACTTCTTATGGTTTTTTATTATTATTCATGGGTTTTATATTATATTGCTAGTAATATCCCGACCAATATTATGTGATTAGTTAACTAATTATATATCATGACATTTAAGAGTTTTTTTACCAAATAAATTTCTGCTATTATCACTATTTTAAAATCTGACTTATTTTCGAGCAGGACTTTGATATTTAACGATTATTACTATTACTATTAGTACCATACCACTGACGCTATTGATTTAAGTATAATTTTACAGATGCGCCCAACCAAACGATTAAAGGCGACAATGTAAACAACATGCAGCAGCAGGCTTATCCCAGGGAGTATCAGGCTCCCCCCGTGCCTGGCCCCATGTACCCGCCCCCGCCCTGGGAAACGCCGGCCTATGAGCCTGCCGGGGATGTGTCATGCTTGTGAGTCCTTCCCTGATTTGAATCCAGGATTGAAATCCTATAGATCCTCTTCAAATCCCTCTAAAGCTTATACCTTTGATTTTAATGACCTGTAAAGTTTATTTTTACAATCTTTCTTCTTTTTATGTTTGCAAAATTCTGCTTTAGGTTTTGTTACGTCAAATATGTTAATTTTGAGTTCCTCTTTATGTGATTCCGTATATCCTATCCCTATCCTTGGCTGCGTAGCAGTGGACTTGGTTTCTAATAGGTATTACAAAGTCTGAATAGCTTGTTGCAAAGGTAATATCGTATATACGTATGTATTGTATGAAACTTTTGTTATAGCAGTATATATGTAACTCACACAACATGCTTTGTGACAAGCCTTTAGAGGAAGCAACGTCTACGATTTTTTTTGTTGAACTATTAAAATGTGTAAATTATAGAGATCCGCTCTTTATAGATGTTTACTTTTGAATAGGCAGTATCATTCCCCATGCTTTTAATATAATAAATAGATTATTCCATATAAGGCAACGATACTGCCTATGCAACGGGACTGTTATTGTTTTAGTTTTTATAATATTTTTAGCATTAGGTAAGTGTATTTTGGTTGCTTCAAGAAGCCAAGATGTATGTTAGACTGCTACTGCTGCCCCTCTCCCTCCCGTTTTATTTTCCCCCCGCGCCCGGGCTGCCATAGATTTTAAAATATGATTTTATAGGTGCCTGCGTGATTTCAGATCCTTTATTAATGTTGTTTACATTGTCGCCAGGTAGGCATTTATAATAATTTCATAATTAGACTGTATTGAGCAGTTCGGAACAGTGATCGACTTAATCTCCTGTTCCAAAATGTCTCAACAGATATGTATACTATGTTGTATCTGTGACGTTACCAAATCTTAGATGATGAAATTGTCATATTGCATAGGGTACTGATTTCTACGAAGCCAAATGTAAAATTTTGAGTTACGTTTAATAGAGAATTTAGAGTTTTGTGAATAGATTTTTTAGATTTATAATCATACTTGCAAGTCTTCATTCGTATTTCTTTTCGTTATTTATATCTTTAATTAAAAGATAATAAAATATGCATTTTTAGCAAAATTTGTGCGAATGAAGGTTTAAGAGTAGTCAATGTTTAGTGGCATGATTGTTGTCAATAGATTGCAAGGGCTTCAAATCGTCTAGAAAATAGGAGAAGTAAAAATGAGAATGAATTTATAAGTATTAAAATTATGATCTTTGTTTGTTACAGCGGCCCAGATTCCGCAGAGAGGCAGTAAGTACCAACATATGGGTCATATTAAATATTTTCTTTGTATGCCATAAAAGGCTTCTTTCAGTTGTTTTCCTTGTCACTGTCGCGTTGCGCAAATGAAATAAGTTTGAATTCAATACGATCAAAAGTAGTGTTAAACAATATTTTCTTATCCAATTATAAGCTCGGATCCGTTTGGGTTTGGCATTTTGGGTTAGCTTTGACGTTGTTAATTTTGTTTGCAATTTAAAATAGCCCACAGAAATATTTCTGTTTTGTTTGCGGTAAAAATTCCAATCAATTTTTAGTATTGTGTATTAGAGACACACAATCTTAATCCACTATTATATTAGGGACGAGTAATTGTATACTAGTTACAGTGTAAAAGTCATGACCTCCATTTCAATCTGCAGTATAAACTAGATATGAAACTTTTGCATTCATGCACTCATGCAAAATTCATTATAGTTAAATTTTGTTCTTATTATTCCAGGCTGCAAGCGCAAGGAGGATATGGGTTCGGATACTCTGCCTTCCCCGAAGAAGCCGCGTTTGGTTTTCACAGACCTCCAGCGGCGTACTCTGCAAGCTATTTTTAAGGTGTGCTATAAAGAAATATTAACATAAAATAAATTTTAGAATTCTGTTTTAAGGTGTAATATGTACAATTTCTTTTTTCATCATACTGTTTGTATGTCTGTTTTAGTAGTTTGTTTGGATAATACTATCGTAGCTTTACGCGATAATTTAATATTTTAAAATAAGTCTCTTTTTTAAAAAGTTAGTTTGGATTTTTTCTTTAACATTATATAGTAAGAAGTAATCTTAAGAATTCGTAAATAATGCATTTAATTTGAAATAAAAATTTCAGGAAACAAAGCGACCATCAAAAGAAATGCAAGTAACGATAGCGAGGCAACTCGGCTTAGAGCCGACTACAGTTGGTAATTTCTTTATGAACGCGCGAAGAAGATCTATGGATAAGTGGAAAGATGATGATGCACCATCAACAGAACTAGACCAGCAATGTGAGGTTCAAGACTTGGATCATGTCCCAAGTTTAGATTCAGCAGAGTCTGAGGAAGACCATGATGATCAAGACGATCACCTTTTGTGACGCCCTATACCCCAGCAGCATTTGTTAGTGCTTTGAGATGAATATGGAGTTGTCTCGGATTTCGAATGTTCTCCTTAATTTGATGTATGAAAACTGGTATTTGACTGCATTTGTTTAGTTATGAGCTATTGACAATGAATTTTTTATTAAAATCCGTCCAAGGAAAAATGAGTTTTGTTACATCTATAAATGTTACTATTTGAGACAGGAAATTCATACTAATTTGAATTAAAAAAAAGAAACTTAAAAAAAATGCTATTTGCGTAATTTGGATGAAGCAAATACAACTTCGAATATCCGATAGGCAACTTCAGGTTTAAGTGTACAGTACAGGACTCTAGTGTGATGGCGTTGGTAAATAAACTGATCTCTAAAATATTTAATGTTTCTAGTCAAACGTAATCAAATAGCTATTTAGTTGTTCTTCAGTATTAGATAAAGGATATGTATGAGTTATATTTATTTATAGCGTATTACAATCGTTCGAACACATTTTAGCATTAATGTCGCGTTGTTTTATTTTGCTTACAATTGTGTCAGATTTTATTATTTACATTAGCAGCAACTTTAATTGATCGTGTTCTAGTCTTATTATCTTTGTTGTCAGTTTAAATGTGTTCAAACGATTTTTTGCTTTCATAGTTAGTAGAAAACGCAATAACAACGGTCAGGATATCAAAAAAACTGACCTAAAGCGGTTTAGTGCAAATATCCGATTAAATCGGATCACGAAGAACAACATACAATAAGTAAATGTTTTATTTTGTAAAAATAATTCTCGATCAACAAAATTTGATGCAATTGCTTTCTTATATTAGATATAAAACGAAATATGTTTATATATTTACCAGAATTTTTAATATTTGCGTTTGTATGACCTGTAACTATGAAATTTGTTATATTTTCATATAAACTATATCCCGGTATCAAATTTTGTACTTCGTTCGACAAGTAGTATATGTAATTTATTTTTCCTCTAGTCAAGAGATCTCAGTAACATTCCAAATCTTGAGAGTTGTATAAACAACAATGAAAGCAAATTCGTGCGTGATATTACTTAATGTTACTTAGATTTAACTTATTTAAGGCTTCACGTATTTATAAGAATTCTAGTCCGAGTTGTGCAAATGTAGACTATTGAAGGATAATATCAATAAAGGCTTACATACCTATATTAGGCTGTAAATTCTGTCAGTCTTGGTCATAGAGACCTATTTACGTGGTAGTAGATCGCCTAATTTTATTTTTAGTTTTTTTTTCTATGAATATGTATGTATTTTTTTGGCGGAATTCGCGGGATTGCGGGACTTAGTGTCCTCACCTTGTCCTTCGTTTATCCCTAATATGGAGTCATTAATTTGTGTTTTTTAAATTGTAAAGTTGTAGTATAAATGTGTTTAAGATTTTTATTTACACATTTTAACTTTTTATGTACCTTATCTATACCAAAGGAGTAAGAAGTGCAATTGTCGTTGGACGCTTATTGTTTTTTTTTTAATTTTAAGCGTCGATTATTATAATATGGAGGAAAGTGTACAAAAATACTGAGTTATAAAATAATATTGTGTAGCGCATTTTCTTTACCAGTTTAAAGGGAAAGGGAGCTAAAATGAAATTGTTGTCAAAACATTGTTTTTGTGCTAATTTTCGTGTTGGTAACACTGCTTTTATAAGTCTATTGAATAAAAAAGCAAAAGCTCATTTTGTTTAACATTATTAATACCAGTTCTATTGTTTTGTACTTTTTTTTAAATATAAGGACTACACTTGGACTTAAAATAACGTTGCAAACGTTACCAGCATGACAAATAAACTCAAATGTTTGGTAAATTTGATACATATAGTAGTTTTAGTTTACATTAATCATATCTTTAGCTCCCAATCGCGCACAAAAAATATATCATTTTTTACTAACGCCCCTTCAAATGAAGTTAATGAATGTTGTATAATTATACTGATCTTTGATTAAAATGATAATTATTTATTAATTAATCTTAAATTTTCATATAGTTTATAAAACATTAAAGACATTTTTTCTGAAAAATATCTGTATGTAATAATATTTTTTTTAAATAATCGAATCTAATTTTTTCAGTTTCGAAAATTTGAGTAATGTTTTTATCTCGACTAATAACGAATATTTTTTGCCAATTACATATATAAGTACATCAGAATATTGTAAAAGACGAACTACCTAAAGTCTAACTAAATAATTGCTTATCTCTTCATGCTTCTTGAATTTATTAGGACTTTATTTAGTGAAAGCCATGAACAAAAATATTTTATAAATAATTAACAAACACTGTATATCTACGCGTTTATATTTTTTGACAATGACTTGGTGAAAATGACCGTCTCAGATGTTAACTCTTCCAAATAAAAAAATATTTTTCAAATTTGATCCACAATTGACAATATTGGTGAACCTTATCGTATTGAATTCGGCTTAAACTAGAATTAATTAAAAAATTTCAGATCAAAATTATTTATTCAATATTCAAAAAAAAATATCTTAAAAGCTGACGCTGATTTTTTTATTATAGTAATAAAAGAAAATCCGCTGTCAACTATCAATTTAATCATATTTTATTACAGTTTGTATTAAATTAAACGAAAACGGTATAATCTTTTTTTTGTCACAAAAATAGATAAAAATTGTCATGATTAAAAAAAACGATTTTTAACTGCAAACTTGTTGTAAATTTCTCAAAAAATACATTGATAAGATTAAATGTAACTCAATTAAGAGAGTCGTACAATTGTATGATTCTCCTAATCGAGTTCCAAGAATTCTTGGTACTTAAACAAGATGACATTATCTATATCGCTAATAGAAAATTAAAATAATTTATGGAAATTATATGGAGCGCAATGTCACGTGACCAGAATATATTGTGATTCCCATATATTTTGTTTACTATTAGCCATATCGATTGTAGTAATCAACTTGCCGAAAACAAATCATAAATATGTTGGGACATTAACAAGAAGAAAGTAGTTTAGTAATTAAAATCTTTATTTCAAGTATACGTAAAGGTGTTGTCTAAACACGTGATTAGAGGAAAAATACAATGTTTTAAGTGGCCAATGATTAAAATTAGCCAATAAGTAGGTATACCATTCATATTCAAACATTTTATTCAATATCATGGTATTTCAGCAATACACTTACTGTTTGTTAGAGCTCTACCAGTAGTTCGGAAAATGAATGCCTCAGTCCTAAGAAGAAAACTTTTTGAATGATTGGCATTACTCTCTTACTCATGTTCATACATGCGAAAAATTACGAAAAATCAACCAAAGTGTTGTTAGTAATAAATTATATACACAAAATTAGTATGAAAAGTAATAATTATTATTGAGTTCAAATGCTTTGAGTCGTGGTTTATTATAATATTCTGATGCACTCACTGTCTGTAACTTATGATATCTAATATATAGATAATGAAATATTTTTGTGCATGTATAGTGCGCTTTCTCTTTGTACATAGTACGTGGATATGTAAGATTAAATGTACATTTTATAAAGTGCTACATTTTTTTTTGATTACCCCCTTTCTAGATAGTTTGGAAATGATTTTTTTTCAGTATTTTATTTTTATTAAGACTGATTTTACTTGGATCCCTCTTTTTATCCGACTGTGGGTAAAAATACCAATCCGGGTTAAAAGACACCTCGTCTTTTTACCCGGCTGCAGCGAAGCCTAAGGAGGTTATATGTTTGACCTGTATGTATGTATGTATGTATGTATGTATGTATGTATGTATGTATGTATGTATGTATGTATGTATGTATGTATGTATGTATGTATGTATGTATATATGTAAGTATGTATGTACGATCCTTTTTCCCTCGTAATTACGAAACGCGTGTCATCTATACATATAATAACATTGTTACTAAGCCGAATCTGTACATTAAATATTTTTTGGAAAACCTTTTGAAATAAACAGATGCAGAGGCCGAATCTATAGTTTTTTGAATTTTTGTCTGTCTGTTACCACATCACAGAAAAACTACTGGAGGGATTTCGATAAAATTTGGTATGGTGATAGCTGGTTATCCGGGTCAACATACTCGTATACCGCGAGAAAATGTCTCATTTCTGACAAAAAATACAAAAACTGCAATGTAAGATTATACTAATATGTAAAACATAAGAATTTGGTTTTTGGTCATCTGAACGCGGGCAGAGCCGCGGTCAATGCTAGTATATAGAAAAAAATAATAATCAAAATGGCGTATTTTAGGCGCCAGTTTCTTTCAAAAAAAATTTCTTCTGAACCTATCGAGTGAGGCATCAATGAAGTTTGTAAGCGTAAATGTAAAAAAAATATAAACAACTTATAAGTTTAAAATTAGTTTTGGATTAGAAATCCTTACTATATAATATTATAAATGCGAAAGTAACTCTGCCTGTAAACTGTTCACGCCTAATCCGCTCAACCAATTTAGATAAAATTTTGTATAGTTGAGACCCTGGGAAGGACATAGGTTAGTTTTTATCCCGCAAATCATCCTTTAAGGAGGTCAAAAGGGGGGTGGGAGTTTGTATGGGGAATCAAATTTCTCAAGTAAGGAACATAAATTTTTATTCTTTTAAGTACTTACCTACTTTTCTATACCTATGTATGTACATTGTACATATATGTCTACTTTATACTAATCGTTAAAACGTAACTACCTAGGGAAGATCTCGAGCGAAGCAAGGAGCGAGCGAGGAGGAGCGCTAGTAGCTAAATAAAACTCTAAATGTCTAACTGTCCAAACTAAAAACCTGTAAATAAAAAATAAAATAAAAAAAGACGTGAAAAGACTGTGTAAAAAGCGAACTAAAAAGATCGGAACAAGTAACGAAAGAACATAGTATTATGCAGTCGTTATATTATACAGTAATAATATGTGATTTAAGAAAAATGTGCAATATAATGACTTTACCTATCATCTTGAAATATTCGAAATTACTAACAGCCTGTTAAAGCTTATTGCATTTACG